GCTCTGCTCCTGTGCTTTCATGTGATATGCGTGGCATTTCAGTGCGAGCCTGCATTCGCGAGTAATCCATCCAAGAGTAATGTGTGTGCAAAGCTGTATGAAAGCTCTGTTATACATAATTTTAGTGTAACTTTATCATTTTTTTTTTTGCTGTGAAAATATTAGACTACCGACAAGTGCTTGGCCTTGTCGGAAAGCTACAATTCCGCTGTTTCACGTGATATGTGTGGCTTATTGCTATGACGCACGGTCGCGGAGAAAATCAAGAGAAGAACAGGTGTGAATTTGGACGCACTATGCGTCGTTCGGGCCCATAGGGTTAAGAACAAAAACAAACTGCAAAGTTATCAAGGGTTAAAGGTGTGGCATTAAAGGCTCTCGAAGTCTTCCTAAGCTTGAAAAGTTTTTGTCACACACAACAAACATCTCCTCACAATCCGCTAGCTACATGTCCTCTGAATATGCTGTGAAAAAGTCCGGTCTCTGTAGGCAGCCCAGGCTCCGAAAATGGCAACAAAAACATTTTGGTCCAGGCTGCACCAATCAGCCAGCGTGAGACCAGCGAAAGCAAGCACGCACACGTGAACACGGTGCCCGTGTCTCACGGTCTCGCACAAGCGCGCACATGTGAGTGCGGTGCCCAGAGAGACAGTTAGAGCTGCAGGCTACAATGAGGCTAAAAACAGAGTTCAAATGACGTTTTTCCACACAACTTTTTATGTCGGGGATTGGCTCACTACGGACGAGCAGTATGGAGAGATTTTGTGGTTTCAATTATGTGTTTTTGGACGTTTGAATCTGAGGCGCCGTCAGCCTCCATTAGGTGGAGTTTTGTTGCTACCTCCTCTCCCCTTGGATGTCCGCAAGTGATGTGAGGACTCTAAAACTTCACCTGATCCTCCATCGGCCTATCGGTGAGTAAATAATGGGTGAATTTTCATGTTGGGTGCACTATCCCTTGAACAGATGGGTATTCCAGGTAGGAGGTTCAACAAACTCTGAGTCTAACCCTGAACTCTGAGCTGATTTACCCTGAGATGGGAAACTCTGAGTTACCGGTTCCAGAACAGCTGATTTGAGTTAGTTCAGTCAACTCTGAGTATGTTCACTCTGAGTTAAGCCGACAGTAAAAAGCCATCATTAATGGAGTTTTTGAAAGCACAGTTTTGGTCAAAAATGGGGGGCTAAATCTTTTAAGATTTAAATAGCACATTATTGCGCGATTATAATGAGCACCGCTTACACTGTGCTTTCAATAAATACCACTGCATTGTTCAAAAATTATTAATTGTGTCTCAAATTATTCTAGGGGGGACAGCTTTACTGAAGGGGGAGTCATGTCCCCCCTGTCCCCTCCGGGATTTCGGCCCCTGGGTCTCTGGATCTGCCTTAAACTGGTTTTCATCATACTTATTGAACAGATCCTTCAGTGTTTCCATCAGTGACTCATCTTCTTCCTCAGCTCCCATTTTCTGTGGTGTTCCCCAAGGTTCAATTCTAGGTCCAATCCTCTTCTCCATTTACTTGCTTCCGTTAGGCCAAATTATCCAAAAACACAATATTTCTTTCCATTGCTACACAGACGATACTCAGATCTACCTCCCCCTAGAGCCTAACAACCATAACAAACTCACAGACCTCAATAACTGTCTTGCAGATATCAAGTCCTGGATGTCCACAAACTTTCTCCAGCTCAATGAAAATAAAACTGAGGTTATTTTATTTGGTCCACAGCATCTAACAAACAGTATTTCACCCTATCTTGGTCCATTAGCCACATCTGACAAATCACATGCAAAAAATATTGGAATCATATTCGACCCAGCATTGAAATTTGATAAACAATTCAACCAAGTAGTAAAATTAAGCTTCATGCAGCTCCACACCATCTCCAAATTCAAATCATTTCTCAGTTCTGCCGACCTGGAGAAAGTCATCCATGCCTTCATATCATCCCATCTTGATTACTGCAACTCACTATATCTTGGTATACTTCAGTCATCCTTATCCCGTCTTCAATTAGTTCAAAATGCAGCAGCAAGAATACTAACAAGATCAAAAAAGTCAGATCACATCACTCCTATTCTTGCCTCCCTACACTGGTTGCCTGTCACCTACAGGGTTAATTTTAAAATTTTGTTGTTTGTTTTTAAGGCATTAAATGGTCCCCCCCCCCCCCCCCCCCCCCCCC